ATGTCTCTCCTCCTCTCTGTTTATCTGACTTTCCAATAAAAATGAATAAATCTTTAAAAAAAAAAAACTAGCACCATAATGGTACCTCCACCAGACTTTTGTTGATTTTCTACTATGCGTTGGTCAACAGTACAGGCTTAATAGTATAAAACACACATGTCCCTCACCCAGGGCTTGTACTTTATTGATGGCAACAGTAGGTATTAAATTATAGAGTAAGAGCAAACTCATGCCTCACACCATATATATATAACTACTGTATATACTGAAAGATGTGTAGAACTCGATGATCCATAACTGACCTCTTTCCTAGTTTAAAAGTCTGGCCCATTTAAAACTTCAGGTCCTAAAGAAAGAAACTGAGGGCCAGAATTGTGGCATACCAGGTAAGGGTGCTGCCTGCAATGTTAGCATCCCATCAGTGCCGCTTCAGGTCTCAGCTACTCCACTTCTAATACAGTTCCCTGGGAAAAGCAGGAGAATACGGCCCAAGAGTTAGAGTTCTTGCCAGTCATGTGGGAGATCCACATGAAGATCCTTACTCTTGACTTTGGATGGTCCAACACTTGTCTTTGCAGCCATCTGAGGAGTAAGACAGCAGATGGAAGATCTCTCTTTCTCTCTATCTCTTTGTCTCTGTCTGTCTCTCTCTGTTTCTCCTTCTCTCCCTGACTTTCAAATAAACAAATGTTTAAAAATAAGAAGTAAAAGAAACCGAAATCTGTTATCTAATAGCTTACATTCCAGGGGCAGCTGGTACCTTTTTGTTCCCTAACTCACAATAATTTGCAGCCTGCTTGAGCATCTAAATTTTCCTTAGCTTTTCTAATGTGGCTAACCTGTATTTCCAAAGAATTACAACAAGAACCTGCCTTCCAGGATGGCCCTAAACATAGACTCTTGCTTCCTGCCTTTCCTCTCATTTTTCTCAATGAGTATTTTTCCTAAAGATGAAGCAGTATTTGAGTAGGTAGAAATAGTCTACAAAATAAAATTTACCCTAGTATAAGTCAAGGTACAGATGGGAGGATCCCATCAATTATTGTAAAAGAGGGTGTTTAACACTAACAATTTTTAATTAGATATTTAAAAAAAATATTGACTGGAAGGAGTTTAGAAGAGTATCCTAATTTTGATGCTTTGGAGAAGGCCCTTCTGAGGTGGTGGCCCTTCTAAGCTAGGGCTGTGAACATTGGAAATACAGAAAACTGGATTCAAGTGATACTGCTGATGCTGATAAGAAACTTTTGCTAGGTAACACTCACAAAAACAAGAAACCAAAAAGAAACATTGGAAGAAAACAGGAAGGAGAAAATTCATTCTTCCACCTTCAGTCTTACAGTCCTCCCTCTCGTGGCCCCTACTGCTAGAATCAAATGGGGAACCAGAAGCAAAAACAGGGGCTTCAAGTTAAGATTGAAATCAACACTACTATCCCTTGAGGAAAAAAAAATTCTGAAAAAAATGGCAGAAATGTTGGAATTTCAAGTCAAAATCAGTGCTCAAAATCGTAGGGAACACTGCAAATATAAACACAGCAGCTTTTATACCAATTAGCCATCAGTTGCTCAGGATGCAGTTCATGATAGTAAGACTGTTTTCTCATAGGTAAGTAAATATTTCCTTAATCCGAGTGTAGTTCACTTAGTTACTGGCTCCTTTCTGGAATTGAATCAAAAGCCACTTGCTTGTCTAGCTTTATGCTGGACTAAATATAGTTTTCCAGCTCCTGATTTGTGTTCTGACTTGACTTGCAATTTGTTTTAATCAATTAAGCATGAGGGAATGTGATACAGCAGAATTAATGTAGCTGCCTCCTATCAGCCTTGATCCCAAAATTAGATGCATGCATCATGACACATGCTCGGGGTAACCATTGGTCCAAGAAAGAGAGGAAATAGATGGAATTCCCTTGAACTCAGCCAAAACAAGGCTAACCTAGCCAAGTAACAGTATACCAATGACCGGAAGGAGAAGATGCGTTATTAAAATTCAGTTGGGGCACTTTTAGGCTGCATTATTATGGCAATAACTGACTAATGCATGTTCTTCAAGCTTTGTTAATGTCTCAATAAATCTAACTGGGAAGGACAAAGCCCTCCGGTTATTTAATAAAGAGCAAGTTAAGCATTGTAACAAATTTTAAGAACATCATGCTTTTAAAATGTAACTAACCTAAGAAATAAGAAATTATTCCTACCCATAGGCTGGAAAAGAGATGCAAGAAGATGGGAATTGACTAGAGGAAGCAAATTAAGGCTGACTTGTCCAGTGGGGTCAGGAGCCATCAAAGATAACAGTTACTGCCAAGGATTCCACCTGAGGCATAGAGAGAACACAAAAAACAACCTGATCTCTCCCTTCCTCCAATACACTTCACTCCTTCAAGTGCAGCTCATTGACCAAACCAGAAAATGGTTTGCTTAAGGCATAAGGGTAGCTAACAAAATACAAAGAAATATTTAAATGAGGCAGATAGATGCAAACTAAAGGAGAGTCAGCACCAACTAGAACTGAATGAGTGGAATTCTGGAAAATAAATAATTTGATTAGCGATAAAGTAGCTAAGTTTAAAAAAAATCAAAGAGAGATTGAAAAAATCCTCCTTCTCCTCCTCTCTCTGTCTGTCTTTCAAGTATCTACTCATAGATGGGCTGTGATTAAAGGGTTCTGTTTTCTTCAAAATCCATACCATGTCTCCTTTTAATTCATCTCTTCTTGCATTGTATAACTACTCAATTCACTTATTTCTTAAGCTAACCGAAAACCTCTCTAGTTATCTTGTGTAGAGCTCTCATTGGCCCTCTTTGTCAGGCTTCCACATCTGCAGAGACATTCAACCATGAATCAAAAATACTTGAAAAAGAAGGTCGTATCTGTCCATACTTCGCCCTTGCCATTATTCCCTTGAAATACAATATAGCAGCTACTTGCATTGCATTTATATTGCTTTAGATATTAAAAGTAAGCTACAAGTAATGTAAACGGTATGGGAAAGTATATGTAGGTTATATGAAAACACTATACCATTTTATACAAGAGTCATGTGCATCTACATACCCAAAGGACATCCTAGAACCAACTTCTTATGGATATCAATGGACAAATGCAATAGTATTAATTAAACATCTACTACCATTGGTAAAGCGCCATACATGGCAGGAGAGACAGACTGGTCTCCCATATTAGGCATGAGTTGGATTTTGATGGTGATTCCTGTGCTATTGAGCATTATAGATTCAACTCAGCAAAGATTGTCTTGCTTGCCTGTGTCTGTGCCTCCATCCACGATGTGTGGTTAACTCTATGGGCCCCATCTCTCCGCAGAATTGTTGATCGAATCACACTAGTCCTGATGCAGCTCTGCACTGCTCCCATTTCCCACAGTCAATAAGAGAGCAAGGAGCTCTGGGATTATTATTATCCATAATATATTTTGTATATTTAATATTAATAATAAAAAAATAAGAACAGTCTTACTTCAATTTGATATAGTCATCATTCCCTCTCGCTTCTCTGAGCCACAAACCAACAAACAGATACAGGGTCTATAATAAATAAATAACGAATACTGATGAAAAACATATTTTAAAAAACAGTAGCTCTCAGTATCATAATATCAATTTCCTAATATTTCCCCTCTTGTATCCATCCCTACAATCCCAAGGACCTCAGAACTACAGAGCAGATGCTCAACCTGATAGCTGCCTAGAGACCTGATTGCCACATCCCCTGGGAGAAAAGGTCTCAATAACAGAAATGCAGCAAATGAAGTCACAAATTCAAGCACCTTCCACCTGCTGACTACCCCCACTGCCAACAGTGAACACCTAAACTCAACATCTGTGAAAAAAGCAAATCCCGTTCCTCCCTCTGTGGAAAGAAACAGAAAAAGAAAAAAGATTCCTGCTTTTACATCACACTAGAATTTTTACTTTTTTTGCCATGAAAAACAAAAAGTGAGAGAAAAAATGTTAGCCTTATAGGTAAACACTCCCAAGGAAGTCTTTCTTGGAGCTCTGGTAAGAGCAAGGACATGTCTGGGACTGCTGATACGCTCATTTTCTTGTGTCCACTGTAGTTTTCTGGATAAGATAGCAGAATGGACAGTGGAGTGGAGGCACTGGGAATGATGTGGGTTCCTGAGCTGACCAAGTCCTGGAAGATAATAGGATGTAAAACTCAAAAGGAAAAGGACCATTAGGTTAAACTGTAGGTGTCTAGAATTCAGCACCCCCTGTATAATGAACTGGAATGGGCAGTTGGAAATAAAGTGTTTTTGGGTTTTTCTTTTTTTCGCTTTTGAAAGATAAAAAGGGCAGATCTTCACAATATTGAAGAGGAAGCAGCTGCATATTTTGGCAGCCATTTAGAGGAAAGAATGAATGTATGAAACACTGCTGCAAGAATATAAAGGAAGACTCAAAATTGACAGCCAAGAAAAGAGTGAAAAGTGGAGAACAGCAAATTTAGGAGGTCTCCATATGACATGGTTTCTCAAAGATGATACATAAAAAGTAACAGTCAGTGAGCAAAGAGAGGAGGAGAGCAGCAAAGGACTTGGAACAGTAAGCACCAAATTGAGGAAAAACTTTCCTGAGAAACACTTAAAAAGTAATCAGAGAAATGGACTAAAAACCCAGAAAGGGCAGTTTGTCTGGAGCTTGAAATGAAAAGAATCACAAGGAGATGCCACCTACTATATCAAACTCTTAATGGACCGAGAAATCTGCTGTGCTAATAGCTCTGAACCAATTGCCATGCATGGGATTCTGGGCTACTCCAAATGACTTTGTCAAACTGCAATTTCCCATTTTACACACAGAACAAATAATAATTTCAAGGTGTGTATAGCAATAAAATTATTGAGACGACTCACTGGAAAGAAGCCAGGGAGATTTTATACTCAAGGGTCCTCTCAGACGATTCGAGGATTGATCATCCACTTCAGTAGCACACCTTTCTCTCTTTGCCCTTCTCACCTTCAGAGCATGCCTTGCCTCATCTCATAGCTCATTCGTGGAGAATGCTGTGTCACCATTTCACTGTACTTCTCCTTATCAGGTGTATCCACTGATAGGTCCAACATAGCTGCAGAGAATTAATTATTGACATAAATTTTAAAGTTTCTGTGACTTTAGATGACTCTCTGTTCTTAAACTAGCTACTTATCTCACTTGGATAAAAGATGAGCCATTTGTAGATAATCAGATGGTAGATTTTGCTGAAGGCAACACTAAAAACTGTCACTGAAATCTGAAATTAAAATCAAGTCAAATCCCAGTTGATCAAAGTAGCAATCATTAAAAGGTATTATTAACTCTGAACTATCACTGAGCCAGGGATCATTTGGTTGAGACTTAAATATCTGAATTCCTAAATATCATTCGGCACAGATACTCCTCTGACAAGCAGCTGGTGGGAAGAGGGATGGACTGGGGCAGGGTAGGGAACGTCGGATCCAAATACTCTGGAATGCTTGTTGGAAGGAAAAGGATAGAAAATAAAATTTAATAATAGTCTTCTGAACTCCGTAAACCTAACCAATTTATTTTAGTTTGTCTTATTCTAGCATATGTATCACTACTTTTATATTAAGAGCACATAAGCCTATAGTTAAAGAGTTTATATCACTCACTCAAATTCACTCAATTGTTAAATGGCAAACCCAGAACCCATGCTCAATAACATTAGCTCTAAATACACTTCTCCCATCCTTTACAGAAAAGGATGAGACAGTAAGCAATCAGTTTAAACCATACTTCAAACCATAGTGATCTCTGTGAATGTTAACATGTGACATGCAGCATAATTCTGTCTCCAGGTGCTGGGCAGTGGCAGGGAGCCAGAGCACTGAGATATCCTTCAAAACTCAAGAATGGAAAACCAATATTCCACTGTGTACTATGCTGCTTAACCATAGCACTGAATACTTTATGTGCATTTAATGTATTTTGTCTCATGCTTTTTTTAGCTTACAGGAACTTTATCAGAACTTTACAATAAGTCAGGGAAGATCTGAACTAGCTACAGCAATCATGCAAGAAGAAGAAAAATAAAGGGCATCAAAATTGCAAAGGGAAAAGTAAAATTATCTTTACAAAGCATGAATAAAAAATGAAAAAACCAAATACACAAATAGAAAGTATATTTCTTATTAATATCAGAAAACTCAAAATGGTTGAAATGTCCATACTACTCAAAGCAATGCGTAAGTTTAATAAAATTATTTTTTTAAAGATTTATTTATTTTTATTATAAAATCAGATATACACAGAAGAGGAGATAGAGAGAGGAAGATCTTCCGTCTGATTATTCACTCCCCAAGTGAGCGCAATGGCCAGTGCTGCGCTGATCCAGAGCCAGGAGCCAAGAACATCCTCCAGGTCTCCCACGCAGGTGCAGGATCCTAAGGCCCTGGGCCATCCTTGACTGCTTTCCCAGGCCACAAGCAGCGAGCTGGATGGGAAGAGGAGCTGCTGGGATTAGAATTGTCGCCCATATGGGATCCCAGCATGTTCAAGGCAAGGACTTTAGCCACTAGGCCACACCGCTGGGCCCTTAATAAAATTCTAATCAAAGTCTGAATGATACTTTTTCACAGAAATGGAAAAATGCAAAAATATTTGTAAACATAAAAAACCCCAAAAGACACATACAACAATGAATCAGAAATAAAAATACAGAAATAAATCTGAATATATCCTGAACTAATTCATGACAAGGATACCAAGAGGAGACAATGGGGATAACAGACTCTTCAATCAATGATTCTGGTAAAACTGGATTCCTACAGGCGAAGGAATAAAAACTAGGCTCTTGTGCTGTATCATACAAAAACCAAGTTCCAAATAGGCACAAGACCTAAATATAAGATAGAACTACAAACTTTTAGAAAAGAACATGGTGGGGCGGAGTACATTGATATTGCTGCCATTGCTTGCACATGTACACACATACACACACAAATATACATGCACACATGTGTGTGTCACCAAAAATGCAGCCCACATAAGCCAGAAAAGTAGTCCACAGATTAGGACCAAAATATGGAAAACATGCATCTAATATATAAAACTGTAAACATCTTGTACCACTTCAAAGTTGAAAAACAAATGACTTAAGAAACAGACAAAAGTTGAGTATTGAATACTCAAGTGGTTAAAACACTGATTGAAATGTCACTGCCTCACAAAGAAGTACCCAGGTTTGACACCAATACCAAGTCCTGTGTCCAGCTTTCTGCTAACAATGATTCTGGGAGCAGGAATGTCAGCTCAAATCATCGAATTCCTGCCACTGTACATAGGAGACTTGAATCGAGTGCTCAGCTCTGGGCTTTGGCCCCAGGTCCGTACCAGTCATTTCTAAAATTTGGAGAGACAATCAGCAGAGATGAACTTTCTCTCATTGTCTGTGACTCTGTATGTGTGTTTGTGCCCACATATATATTTCTCCAAAGAAGACATTAAAATTGGTAACAGGAATAAGAAAGGTACTAAAATATTAATCATCAGGGGAACACAAATTGAAACTTCTATGAGGAAGTGTGGCGCGATGGCTCAATGGCTAAATCCTAAGCTTTTTCAAACTCCAGGATCCTGTATAGGCACTGGTTTGCTTCTCATCCAGCTCCACTTCTTACCCAGCTGTTCCACTTCTCATCCAGTGCTTGCTTATGGCCTGGGAAAGCAGATGAGGATGACCCAAGTCCTTGGGACTTTACATCCACGGGTTCCTGGCTTTGGATCAGATCGGCTCCAGTCATTGTGGCCAATTAGAGTGAACCAGCAAATGAAAGATCTTTCTCTCACTTTTTTCTTCTTTCTGTAAATCTGATATGCCTTTCCAATAAAAGTAAAACAGATCTTTGATATGACATATCACCTTGTACCTTGTAGGATGTTAATTCTCAATGAGTAAAAATTCAAAAAGTGAAGATATGGGGAAAGGAGAATTTCTGTACACTATTGATGGTAATGTACTTTGGAACAGCCATTATAGGAAACTGTATGGATGTTTCTAAAGAAACCAAAAATAGAACTACCATATGACACAACAGGCCCTTTTCTGGGCATATACCCAAAAGAAATGAAATTACCACCTTATCAAGATATCTGCACTCCCACATTTATTGCAACATTATTCACACCAGCTATACACATGAGATTGGGTTCCTGATTCTGGACTTCAATCTGGACCAAACCTGGATTTGTGGACATTTGGAGAATGAAACAGCAGATGGAAGATATTTTGTTTTTCTCTCTCTTTCAGACACACACACACACACACACACACACACACATCTCTCTCCCTTTCCACTCTCGTCTCCAAACAAAAATGAAAGAAACACACACACACGCTTTTTAACATCTCAGTGCCCCAAAAGTAAAGCAAGAAAAACAAGCACATTCCTTTTCCTTCGTTCATTCGTTCATTCATTCTTTTAGAATTTGTGAATTGGTCGTCAGCCTTCTCATATCATTTGAAAGACTAGAACATAAAATAACATGTTAGCTTTTTTTTTAGTATTTCTGCTTAGCCAAGCACTGCTAACAACTAACTTCTAAAAGTAAACAACACTGTGTATACATTGGAAAGCTTGTAATTTTATCTGCTCATTCATGGAGTGTAGCCCAGCAAGCTAGCAATCATGCAGCATACTCAGAGATGGAAATCCCAAACATGGACCTGAAGCTCAGCATTCTGACCATGACTTTGCAGGAAATGGGGGATACCAAACACAACCACAACTCTTCATTCCCGGAATAAAGGACCCCTCACGCCCTGAGCTCTTGGTGCTCTCGCAGCTGCTACAGAGTGAAGCTGGAATTCTGTGACACAATGCCAGCCAAGCTCAGCTACCTTCAGGAAAGATGGTTGCCCATAGGAAATATGGTTGCCCACAGGTTGGAGGGGAAAATGTGGCTGAAATAAAGTCCAGCTTTATTTTTCTGGGCCATTTTTTGTGACAGTGAAATAGACCTGAACATATTTTATGCCAGCAATATACTAGAAGACACTGAAACCATAACAGACTCAGGAGAAAGCCTTATCCCCCTTTGCTGACTGCAAATCCTTCACCCAAATGCAGGTTTGTAAATAACTAGGACAACTAGAGTTAAAGCCAGAGGCTCCATGGAGAGGATTCATAAACAGTGTGCAAAGTGGTTTGTAAATGTCATGTTATTATTTCTCAAAGTGGATTATGCAAGTGTCTATCCATGGTTTTTTATATATATAGACCAAAATGATTTTGCATTCTCCAACCTTTTTGCTGTAGACTGGAAATGGTTACGTGGTGTCTCCAAAAGGAGAAAATGAATACGTAAGTGTGCACAGTGTGTCAGAGCTGTAAGGCACTTCAGAGTTTAGCTCTCCCAGTCATCCCATCATGCTGAGGCCAAGAGAGCTAAAGTGACTTGCCTCAGGTCAATCATGGACACATTAACAGATGAACTCAACCTGAAACCCAAGTCGGCCTGCGCTCAATGCAACTTGATTTTTATAACATCCCTGGGGAGCAATATAAATTAAAAAAAAAAAAAAAGCTAGAGACCAGAGTGTCTGAAACAACTTAGAATGCTAATGCCAAGTCAATAAAAACATGATTTTTAAGAGAAAAAAGATAAATTTAGGTATAAAGATTATTGCTTAGTAATGTTCATTAACTTTTTAAAAATATATATGAAAACAATGAAAAGGCTGGAATATGGAGCAACTGTCTTATTACCCAGAGGTAGACACTAATTGAACACTAGCGTGTATATCTCTGGATGTTTCTGTGCTTACGCGTGACTCTAAATCGATTTTCTTAACATGGGAGCAAGCACTCAATACTGTCGTATTGCTGTGCTTTTCAAACATTTCCCAAGATAGACATATCTTTACCTACATTGTTTTAAAGGCTAACTAGCTTTCGTTGGCATAGCTGCTTTTGAATAATAAACAATTGGATGCCAGATCCCCAGCATGAGACTTCCACATTGTTCTGATTTTTCACTAACAGAAACACAGAAACCCAGTGTTGGGGACTGGAAGGCTCAGCCTCTTGCCCTTGAGGTTTCTGAGAGCTGTGTTGGCTTGGGA